GAGCATGAGAAGACGTTCCCCTGCTGCCACCTGCTCTTGTCCACGGTGAGCTTGCTGTAGAGGAAGTAGGAGCCGTCGGAGTCCAGCACGGGCGGGGTGGTCTTGTAGGTGTTCTCCGGCTGCCCGCTGCTCTCCCACTCCACGACGATGTCGCTGGGGTAGAAGCCTTTGATCAGGCAGGTCAGGGTGACCTGGTTCTTGGTCAGCTCCTCCCGGGGCGGGGGCAGGGTGTACACCTGTGGCTCTCGGGGCTGCCCTGTAGGGACAGAGGTTGGCACAGCGGTCACTCCCAGGGCGGAGGGTGGGCCGAGCCGGCCTCTGTCCACGTGGCCCTCGCGCCCCGCGGGTCCCACCTTTGGTTTTGGAGACGGTTTTCTGCCTTGGGGCCGGGAGGCCTTTGTTGGAGACCTTGCACGTGTACTCCTTGCCGCTCAGCCAGTCCTGGTGCGTGACGGTGAGGACGCTGACCACGCGGTACGTGCTGTTGAACTGCTCCTCCCGTGGCTTCGTCTGGGCATTGTGCACCTCCACGCCGTCCACGTACCAGTTGAACTTGACATCGGGGTCTTCCTGGCTCACGTCCACCACCACGCACGTGACCTCAGGGGTCCGGGAAATCATGAGGGTGTCCTTGGGTTTTGGGGGGAAGAGGAAGACGGACGGTCCCCCCAGGAGTTCAGCTGAGGAAGAGATGGAGGTGGACGCGTCAGCACCCGGGCGGGGCCTGTCCCTGGACAGAGGCCACTCTAGGGCACTTGTCCCACCTTCAGCTGGAGGGCAAGGCCTGGGCTGGCTTACCTGGGCACGGTGGGCACGTGGAACGACATGGGAGCCCTGCAGAGAGAAGATTGGGAGTTACTGGGATGTGGGAGGCGAGAAGGTGTCTGAGCTGAGGGAGTGGAGTTTGGCCTTTGGGGTGGGCTTAGGTCAGGGCAGGGTCCTCACAGATATGGCTCTTGGCAGGTCTGAGCCCAGCACCTGCCCCTGTGTGTGCAGGGCCTGGGGTAGGGGCATCCAGCCTGTGGCTCCCCAGAGCCTGGTGGAAAAAGCCCGAAGACCGTCTCACTGAGCATGAGTGGGGTGGGCAGAGGCCTCTGGGTGAGGAGACAGACGGAGCCTGCCCTGCTGCCCTGGGATGGGGCTGCACAGCCAGGGTTTGTCCAGGCAGGAGGGCTGAGCCTGGCTTCCAGCAGACACCCTCCCTCCCTCCCTGGCCTCTCACCAACTCTCTTGTCCACCTTGGTGTTGCTGGGCTCATGAACGACGTTGCAGGTGTAGGTCTGGGTGCCCAAGCTGCTGGAGGGCACGGTCACCGCACTGCTGAGGGAGTAGAGCCCTGAGGACTGTAGGACAGCCGGGAAGGTGTGCACGCCGCTGGTCAGGGCGCCTGAGTTCCACGACACGGTCACGGGTTCGGGGAAGTAGTCCTTGACCAGGCAGCCCAGGGCCGCTGTGCTCTCGGAGGTGCTCCTGGAGCAGGACG